TAGCGCCGTGGCGGCGGGAGAGGAGACATTGCGGGTGAGCCCTCGGACGCGGTACCCCGCGGCGATGAAGCGGCGAGCGACGGAGCCACCTTGGTTTCCAGTGGCGCCGACGACGGCGATGAGCTTCTCGGGCATTGTCTGCAGTGCGACCCCGTCGACAGGTCCGTGATGGTGGGAGGCAGAGTTGTGAGGCGGTGAGAGGTGGGGTCCAAGAGTTCGAGAAGCTCGAGCGAATCGTGGGCTGATCTGGCGCCTGGGATGGGGTCGGGATGAGAAGGTTCAGGAACTGAATTCGAGAAACGGTTTTCTTATTTGTCGCTATTTTTGAACCTGATGGAAAGGTGTGAACGAAGTGTTCGCGCTGGCGGATGAAGAGTTCTTCAGCTTCTGGAGAAAGTTCGCGGAAGCCCCTCCTCCATTGCGGTCCCGTCCCCGCCGCTTCACGACATGCTCAAGGTCTAGACGCCGCCTCCGTCGGAAACACTAATTGCTAGTGTGGACGGTATCAGTGGCGCCGAAGGGAGAAAAAATACTGGAATGTGATACGAGTGGATCTCGTCATACCATCTGCCCATCGATGCAGAGACGCATCGGGAGCGGATCCCTATGTGGGTTTAGTGTGTTGACACTAAACCGCCGAAGTACGGGGGCGGCACAGACGCCAAACCGTACGCGGAATAGGCGCCTGTGATTTCCGGCGACTCGGTTAAAGTTTATGTCTGCTTTATTGCAAGTCCGAGATAAGGGTGTCTCTTAAGAAGATTTCGAATGGCGTGGAACATTAGGTCTGAAGACAATTCGGTACTCGGCATAGGGAATTATGAGACGTGCTAAAAGAATGTAATTGATTCAAAATCTGAGTAAGTTTGTGTGCTGCCACATACATAATGAAGTTCAATAAAGATAGACTGGGTAAACCTCGCAAGCTTGTGATAATAGCATCAAATGAGCGTCAAAAATTGCAGAACAGCATGTAGAAAGTCTCCGCGATCGACGGCAATGACATAAATTCAAGGCGACTTTCCTTCCTTCAATCTTTCCTTCAATGTGACAACTACTTTGTTAGCGTCCATAGTTCAGTAGACAAACAGGTGTGGAAGCACTCACTCCACCCGTTGGGGACGGTCCTTCGTTTCTTGTCATGGTCCCATGAAGCATGATGTTGCTGGATTTGAGACAGCTTCATCGAATGTTCAGCATTGTCGTGAACGGAAACCTCGCTGTCTGATTTGTCAATAGCACGAGGCTTGTCGGTGGGTCTGTTTAAGACGCAAACCCTCCCATTACAAATAGATCTCGGGTTTCGACTGGGAGGCAACCACTTCCGTTCCAAGAGATCTGGAAAAACAGGTCAATGATATCTCGGAGAATCGAGAGCAACACCTTTAAATCCTTACCTTCAGTGTCTTTTTCATCTTGCAATAGACTTCTTTTTACTTCGTCTTCTAGTATGTCCGCTGACTTGTCTGGGGCTGGGTTTATCTCAGTGGACCTAGCTCCTTGCTTCCTGTAGTTGTACACAGCGCTGTATTCTGGCCCGGTCAAATGGCTTGCCTGTCTGGCTTCGAGGTCGCAAGTGGACTGCTCGACTTTTGCAGAATCCAACGGCGCCTCTGAAAGCTGAGAAGATGGCCAAGGCGGAGGTCTCACGGGGTAATGCAGGTCTCGAGAATCGACCTTAAATGCAGCAAGGACGTGTCCGGGGTTAATTGCAGCAGCTTGGACATTGATCGACCAGGAAATGGAGGAGATGAGATGGATGATAAGAAAGGACTTCATGTTTGTTACGAACGATCAGTTAGCTGGCTCGTGAAGGTGGTATTGAAGCTTGAAACAGGACTTGAGATGGCTTCAGATGTTTGTTGGTGAGGATGAAAACTGTCAATGGGAAGAAATCACACTCCATATTTATATTCACAAATCCTGCAGGTGGGTGTTGTCTCCTGAGAAGGCCCAAGTCATTCAAGCTCCACCGTATCTATCAGACTAATCAGCGACTGCTCCCACGTCGGTTTGGATTTCACCTAGTTGGTGAACTTAAGGCTCCTCGGCGAATCCGGGATTCCAGGAATGGGTGGTCAGAACTCCTGAAAGCGATGTGTGTTACGTTTGAAGACGTAAAATAGATACAAAGGAGAATCACACCAATTCGATATAAGCGATGATCAAGCATCATCATGAAATAGGTGTTCACTAGCCTAGTATTGCTGCGATTATGATGCCGTACAGACTTTCGGTTCCACTATGGCGTGGCGCAGTCTTCAAAATCCATCATGAAAGTCGCATCCACAGAGACGAAAGCGACCAAGGCATGCGGCGCGCATATCTACTTGGGTGTGTTGCCTGGAAGTAAACAGCCCCTGGGCTGCACCGTGTGACGATACTGGGGCGCAGTCACAATATTCACCATCAGGCACACAGATTCGCTGAAAAGAGAAAGCAGAAGTCACCACTCAAGCAGCACAACTACTATACTGTCCCCGCATGCATAATCTTATATCTTCTTATAATTCGTTGGTGTTCTCAGCGCTAGCAACACCGGCGAGCCCCTGCAGAATTACGCCCATGATTTTGCGAATCATTAGTCGATACCGTCAAACAGACAAAGAACATGACCTCATGCCCAGCTCCCGCTTGAGAACTTAACCACACCCTCAAATTTACAAGCTGAGGTTTGGAGACAGGCCGCAAGACTCAGGCCGTCACAACCTACCGGAATTAAGTCAAAGTTCATTATTCTGAATAGCAACATTCATGCCACATGTAGTCTCCTTTTGGGTGATGCAGGTTTCACTCCTTACGGGAAGCAAGGCGCATATTCTGCACAAACACTGTCAGCTGAACGTATCCAGTGTCTGCAGACACAGCTAAGACACCAACAAGCAATTAATCCTTCGATGGGTAGGTAAGAGGGGCGAGAGTGACACAGAAAACACGCAAGTGCGTGAGAGCTAGAAAATAGAGATCAGGCTGTGATGAAGACGGCAAAGTTTCTGGTGGTTGCCTCGTTCATGCTTTGCTACGGCATTAGCCGAGGCGATAGATCTTGTGTGTTTCGCCCAATGACATGGAAGGCGCTTTGTGATGAACAAGCAGCTAGAGACACAGCTGAAAATTGGGCAGTCTTTTGTAAGATCCTATTGGCCCACTTTCCAAAAGCTGCAATTGCCAAGTAAATGAGACAACTACGCCTAGAAGGGTGGCTGTACAGCCTAAGTCTGGCATAAGTTAGCACCACTGTGTTTGGAGGGGTGTGAAGACTGGTGAACTTGGGTGATGATTGAGCGATAAATATGATGATGCTCCAGACGCCGGCAGCCACTTTGATCATGCTGGGATAAACGAGACGCTAGGAGAAGGAGTGAATTTTTTATTTCTCGCTTAGGCCTTGAAGGGAGCCCCCCCCCCCAGTCCGATTTACGAGGGTCGCGGTCTTCACCAGCAGAAATGATTCCGTAGTTGATGAATCGGTCGGAAGAAGAGCCTGACAGATTGAAGAGATTGCTTTGGATTAAGGCAGTCTAGAGACAAACCGTTCGCTGGCTTCACGAAGAAGGATTAACCATGAGGCGCTTGAAAGATTCAGCTCAGCCGATGACGGATTTGATGTAGCAAACGAGTGTATTCAATCAAGATGTGGCTTTTCATGTATGCCATCGTACATAATATATGCGGCCAAAAAGCTCAATGTCCAGGCCATTTCATGGTTGCAAAGTGAGTGACAAAGGAATTCAAGAAGGAAATGCCCTAGTTCAATACCATACGACACGACTCTCGCCATCCATTTCCGAGACTGGCTGCCACCGAAATTTCCAACTAGTCCATCGTCTCCAAATCTTGCTGGTGAATCTCAGCAGTCCTGCCAGTTCCTGATATGTAGGCTCAGGTCACCCTCCGAGGACTACCGCGACCACCGCGACCACGACTGCGGCCGCGAATGCTCCCAGCCTCCGCATTGGAACTAGCCTTCTGATCAGTTGAATCTACAGAAGTCAGTGTTTCTGATTCTCTCAAAGATGGACATGCCACTTGCAATAATCCATCTGCCTGTCTTCGGATCGCTGGAAGATCTTCCAGGAATCTTCTGCCTCCGTATCCATGTCGCTGTTCAGATTTTGTCGCTTCTTGATAGACGGATAGTAGAACCTTACACCTGAAGATGTGTCTTCAGCATTAGTTAAACAACTAGGTAGAATCCTCAGACTGACCAGGGACATCTCTCTCGATCTTGCGCGCGGCACCCGTGTACTTAAACCTCCATCGCTTCTGATTGCCAGACTCGCCAAACCCCTGATCAATACTGCTATCGAATTCTGAGTCGGTGGAAGTTTCAATCTCGGGCGACGGAGCTTTGGCTTCACTCTGAGCTCGAGCAGCTTTGACACAAATGGCCAACGCAACAACGAAAAGGACTTGGAGAATGCTTATAACCTTCATTTTCAGAGTATTTCAAACGAGGGGTAAACTTGAGTATTACCAAGATGGAGGGTCAAATTGATGATTAGAGATCAAAGTCAGAAAAGGGTATCGATGGAAATATTTATCACATTTATGGTCAAATACTACAATAGCACTGTGAGGTTTTTTATGTTAATTGAGAAAGGTGGTTGTGCTCGTAACAATGCAGAGTGGAATTATCGTATTACGCCCAGCCTGTTGCGGCTGATTACTTCACATGAGCTTTTCTTGCGTCTCCAGCAAATACAAAATTTAGCAACTATGATGAATGCCACCCACGCCCATATCATTTTGGTCATGCGTGTCGCTTCAGAGACGCCCTTTTGCGCGCAAGGCTAGCAGTCGTCTTCACGCTAAACAGACCTCATGCTGTACGACCTCGAAATATCTTGTAGTGGCCGCTATGTTTTGAGACCTTGCCGAAATTGGTGAGGGAAAGTACAGATGTCGCTATCTCGTATGCTGTACAATGGACACAAATGTCGGGACTCTTCGGGAACACCTGGGAACAGCTTGACCATACACACTATACTCCTCTTAAATCAAGCAGCATACGCAGAAGAGACATTCTGGCCGCCAGTATGAATGAACAGAACATTGACCGTTTCACCCGGTTGATGTCCGACTTTTGTGGCGTCGCTCTGAAGTTCGCCACTGTTGACCCAGTGAACCAGCCCTTTGGCAGCCTTTCCAGAGTACACAGGATCCATCAAGATTCCTTCGCGGCAAGCCAAAGTCTTCAAAGTCTTTCGGGTCTCTTCATCCAGCACACCGTATCCGGGACCAGCGAAACGATGGTCAAGGCGGATATCCTCAGCCGCGATGTCGCGTTCCGGATCCAGCCCAATCAACTTACCGGCATTCCTGGCAATCTGCAACACCACTTCCTCCTGGCCTGTTATGGGTGCCACCATGACTCCGATCAGCTGTCTTTCGGGCACAGATAGCTTGTCGGGCAGCGACGATTCGAGGAGTTTAAATCCAGTGACCAAGCCGGCAAGTGTACTCCCACTTCCGCAAGCGACAAAGATGTAATCATAACGACCCGTGCCTCCGAGTTTGAGGGTCTTCTCTTGCTCTTGTATCTCCAACGCGCAGTTGGTATACCCGAGTCCGCCCAGGGGGTGTTGGCTAGAGCCCATCGGTATCCAGTAAGGCACCTTGCCTTCAGCCTTGAGCGCCTGTAGAACCGCAATTTTATCGTGAGGATCACGCTGAATATGAACATTTGCGCCAAGGAGATCGAACACTGGCACATTCCCTGTCGATCTGAAGATTGTCTGGTTTTCGGCAGTTTTCAGGCCGCCGGCTTCTTCGTTCAGCAGAAGCACGCACTCGAGGCCGAGCTTTGCTGCCACAACAGCAGTCTGGGCTGCATGATTACTCTGCAGGCCACCTTCGGTGACGATAGTGGTGACGCCAGGCTTCGCGAGGATATCCGGGATGATGTATTCCAGCTTGCGATACTTGTTACCGCAGCACAGCATAGGCGACGACTGATCGTCGCGCTTGATCCATGTCTGGATCGAGATTTTATCATTGAATGCTGCCGTGGCTGAGAGTGTAGTGAGTTGATGAATCGGCGACGGGGTGTCGTACCGAAGCCTGTAGCTCGGGAAACCCGATAGAGACAATGGTTGCTCTGGCATGTTGTGAAAGTGACTGAGTATCGTTAGAATCGATGGCAGAGTGGACAGACTAAGTGCGTCGGGATTGATGTCTCCATTCTTGCATGGGATCTAGCTAGTTAAATTGCGCTCTGAGCCCCCGCTCCATCGACAGGAAGGGCGTGTGGGATGGGGTTCAGCGAGCTTGCTGACGTGGGGTATCTAGTACTCCCGATGTTGCGAATATTACCCCACTACCATTGGGTGCCTTCCGTGACATGCTGCATGTCTAGTCATCCGTCAAAAATCTGTCAATTCGCAGCTTTCACGAGATGCTCAAGGCTTCGCTGGCACACATTCAATGCACGGTGCGATAATCTTTGGGCTTGACCTTGCCTTCTTGGGTAAGCTCTCCCGCTAATAGCAGCTCCGGTACGGTTGGCGCTTCTGAAATTTGAACTTGGCCCCCTTCATGACCGGGTTGATAACATTTAGTCTCATGAGCCATGGTCTAACAGACATGGATGGCGCCTAACGAGTTCCAGATAATTGACACGTGGATGTCCAAGAGCCTAAGAGTCACTAGCCGTCACGCAGATCTGAAGTTCAGAGTAGACTAAAAGATTGAAGATGACATAATTAGTTCCAATCATTTCCGGTTTTCGACATGAGTCGAAATGTATCAATTCGATTTGGTATCACTGAAAAACAATCCCAGCCAGCTAGCTATATGCTCTGTAAAAACAATGTAATCAAGGAACTCTCCACGCGAAATGCTCCACAAGTGAAGAACAATAAATCTGGACTTCATGAGGATGGCTTGAAAGCCTTGGCCTGCGAAACAAAGCTTGCACGTCCTGTCGACTCGTCGAAGATATTGTACCCAATGTCCGCAGCATTAGGTGGGGTGTACACTGTGCATCAACGGTCAGAAATCGTCACTGTCCTGGCCTCTGAAGGAAACTTACAGTGCAGCGAAACCGCAACGTTCTGGGGATGCGGGTTGTGTACGCGATGAAGACCGATGTCGTCGGATATATAGGTCACTTGGTCCGCTTGATATGTCTTCTCACTCTTGACTTTGAGAGGGACATTCTCTTTATCCGTGCTTGAAGGGGTATAATATACCGTCTCCGTCAATTCCCCGGCTAGGACCTTCATGATGCAGTGGGCATTGGCATGGTCGTGAATTGGAGAACCCTTGAGAGGATTCCACACCAACAGGAGCTGCCAAGTTCGGTAAGAAAACGCATTGAAATTTATCAAGACATTTGAGACTTACGATATTTGCCTTGTGATTAATATTCTCAATGGCATTGCGGGTATAGTTCTTTCCCGGGCAGTTATAGTAGTATCGGGCCCAATCGTTGGGGTTTGTCGCATATCTCTTGACGAGAGACATTAAGTAATCTTCATCAACATCTTCCGAACCAATGCCAGAGGAAGTTCCCAAATGTTCTTTGATGTCATTTACAAGGTCTTCAAGACTGTAAGCAGGTTCGGGGTTTGGGTGTGATAATTGCTGATCTCGCGGACCGGCCTGCATCAGAGGCAGTGGGGCGAATAGTGTGGAAGCGGACATGATGCTAAGAATAAGCTTAGGGGTTGAATGTGTGGAGCTGCTTCCGTAAAGAATTGGTTCGTCTTTCTTGTTAAAAAGAGGATTGAATGACGAGAAAATTGAGTTTTACTTCCAAGTGAACACCTCTGAACAATAGGTGTCATTGCAATGGGTTTGTTAAGAGAGCCGTTGTGTCTACCTCTTATCTCGCGGTCGATTGTGTCTGTTGGGGGCGCATTCGCCGACCGCCAGTCAATCGCCGATCAACGCAAGCCAAGTAACAAGCAGCATCATCCAGACCGCAATAACTAACAAGACCACCTGCACGAAAATGATTGTCAGATGATAAGACAATATTAAGCTTTAGTGTCATATAAATGGGACCTGGACGTCCCATGATAAACACCTTACATCACACAGCGAAGCAGCCGTTACCACGATCAAAGCCCGACCGCGCTCAACGTGGCCCGGCGATCCCCGAGGGATAACATCAGCTTGGCTGACGCTACAGGGTCTTAGCCTGCGCGATAAGATTACCAGCCAATCACAGATGTCGAGTCATGACCTGGATGGACCCCATGAGCAGTCAATCGGCAACTCAGCCGGCGTCCAGGAGAAAATGAGAAGTTCATCTGTACTCTTTTCCCTTTGTCAGGACGACGTCTAGCCATCGCCGACCGAGGTCAAGCTAAATGTGCGCATCTTTTGCTGAGACTTGCGTTTCTTGGAGTCTTTCTTTATCATGACCGTGCCTCCAGCAAGGAGCACCAGACAGACGGGCCTGGCCGCTCTCGCTTGCACTGGATGCAGAAAGCAGCACCTGAAATGCGATGCGAAGAAGCCAGTGTGCTCGAGATGCATCCAGAACGGAGAGACTTGCTACTATGAGCCCTCTAGGAGAGGCGGACGAAGGAAACCTCGCCCACAATCAATTGCATCCGAGGGACAAGGCACCCTGATGTCCGGTGATCGTCAAATGCGGGATGGGTCGAGCATCAATGCAACAATCGCGCCGACCTCAACATCCAGAGAAGCCTCAACATGTGTTTCCTTATCTGGCGATGGCTCCCCAACAACGACTGCTGTTACTGATAGTGCGGTGACCGAGAGAGGACAGTTGCAGGCTCCAGCATCGGAACGCCGAAACATCGGGTTTCATCCGGCGGCACCTAACTCAAGAGATGGGCCTCCTCCAGTCAATCCCGATGGTGATCTACTTTCATACCTCTCAGACATGACGACCGATCACTTATCGTGGTTTATGCCAACTCCGAGGGATACGTCCAATGGTACCCGCTCTCACACAAACACTTCACACCGGCCCTCTTCTGAAAGCGATCGATATCGCCGGCTCTACTACGAAAACTTCCATACTGCGCATCCAATTCTCGTACCAGCGTCAATGTACGCGTCTCGAGCTTATCCTCACTATCTGCACCTCGCTGTCGACTTTGCCGGTTCCCACTACTCCCAAACAACCCCTAGCGAAAACTTGAGAAGTGAAGTTGAAGCAGCGCTTGCTGCCAATACAGAACTATCGACCTGCGCAGTTCAGGCGCTATTGATCTACTCCATCGTCCTCTTTTCCCGAGACGAAATCGACGATGCTCACATTGCGTTTGGCCGGTGTGCTGAAATCGCCCTGGAAATTGGCATGAACCGTGCAGATTTTGCTTCCTCAAGGCACCCAGAGAACTCAGTCGAGGCTGAAAGCTTGAGGAGAACATGGTGGGAGCTCTTCGTCGCGGATGTTTTGATGGCAATCCCTCTGAAGACTATCTCTTTCCGGTGCAGTGCTGTCTCGCCGGAGGTCCCCTTGCCATGCGAAGAGTCGTTATACACTGGAAACTGCGACCTCCCTGAACCACGCAAGGTTCTCGAGTTCAAGAGAAGGATCTTGCTCGAAGAAGATGTGGTGTTCTCTTCATTCAGCTATCGCATTGAAGCTGCAACCATCCTTGGCCGGGTGCTGGTTCTCAACCGCCTGAAAGACTACCACCGCGACCATTTGCAGGCTATCGAAAACGCCCTCGTTAGTTGGTCAAACCACTTGCCGATGGAGAAGATGGAAATCGTGGACCCATACGGAAATATGGATGAGATGATGTTCCAGGCGCATGTCATCATCGCTCATGCAAGTATGCTTCTCCACTTACCACGAAGCCGCTTCTACCCTCTCTTATCGAGCCCCCAAGACGACTTCATGCCGTACACGCATCTTCACTCTTCATCAGCTTCAACGCGGCTCGTACAGAGCATCAAGGCTATGAACGCTTCAAGGCGGTTATCGGACTACATCTCGTTATGTCCAAACATTCAGAAACATACTCCATTCATCATCCCGGCGCTCGCAATGGCTGGCCTCACTCAACTCGCCACGTCCAAAAACCACTCTGAAGAATGCTTCGACCACCACTACAACAGAGTGACATTGGTACTGGGCTGCTTGAAGAAGATGAAGCGGACGTGGCACCTGGCCGAGCCTGCGTACCACCGGGTGCGATCATGTGCCGCCAGGTTGATCTCGGACTTGATGGACAAGCTCAACTCTGAACCTCTATCAAAGTCTGCAGTGTTGACACAGTCAACGCCGCGTGAGTCTGAAGAGAACAACAGCCCCACGGCGGAAGCCGTACCAGCGGTACCGCAAGTTCAGCTAGTGCCCGAGCTGGACCCCAGTTTCATTGATCCTATTTGTTACAACTATTCTCTGTTCAGCTCTTTACCGGAATTTCAGGACGGGTAGCTATTTTCGAGGGCGCGTTACTCCCATGATGTTTCTGAGAATGATTGTTTAAAGCGTCACAGCGGTTTATGGTGTTTTAGGTGACGAATCTTGAACACGTCTATGGGCATGATTACCATGCTTTCACTAGTACTGTCGTAGAGTCAAGAATACTGAAAGAGGGCCGACTTTTGCGGTGTATACTGTGTATTACGATAGATGCCTTCCTGGCTTTCTTTTGAAGGATGTAATTTGCAGTTTTCATCTAACGGGGACATTTTCAAAACCAATGTGCACGCTTTTGAGGCTTGTAATGCAGGAACAAAGGAAAAGATAATAAGTTCAGTCAATCCCTCCTCCAAGACTTCTGATCCAGCCAACGAGTCAACTTGACAGCGTTTACATCCACCAACGCATTGAAGACATCGCTTGCCCATAAGAGCGCAAGTGTGTTGACCAGGAACCCGCAGAAGAACTCAAGTCTGTATGCACCCAAAGCTGATTGCGTTAGGTCTGTTGCAGCGTCGTTGTTGCCGCTCTCTGTGAGTACCTTAGCCTGGCTTTGAGCCTCCTGTAGCGCGGCATACGCCGGAGACAGCCATCTCACTCCGACCATGTGATTTATGGCACCATGCCATAGATACAGAGAGTACGAGATGCGCCCTAGGTATTGTGCGAAGCTCGTGGTAAAGGGCCGCTGGAGAAGAGGTTCGGGTCTGGCTGCCTCGCGATCCGAAAACGTCGCTGCTGAGAATTCTTGCTTGTCTCCGTCATTGATGCTAGCACTGGTTTGGTGCCAAGGCAGGCGGAAGTTGCAAAATCTCGGGAGCGGAACATGGAGACTGGAAGATACGGTCGGGGAGTACATCAAGGCAAAGATGAACACAATGGCGCCAATGGAGATCCAGAAGAGCTGAATGCGTTCTCCCGAAGCTTGATAGTAGGCAGGCACCCACTGGGAAATTGTAATGAAACCCGGAGTCGATGAGCCGTTATTCTGTGGGTAAGAGAAAAGGTGCATGCCGAGGAAGAAAAGAGCAAAAGTGCCCGCGTGGCGAAAGACATGGCCAATCCTGGAACCAAGATTCGTAATGATCGTTTTTCTGTAGCCGAGGGTCTCGTCTTCGGGTGTCTCTGACTGCGGGCTGCCGTTGGGAAGGATGATGGACATCTCTGCAAGTAACAGGCCTGCGCAAAAAAGAGCCTGGTCCCAGTCGCCAGTGTGAACCAGCCAGACGCCTGTGCCCATAACGCTGACCATGTGAATCCACCGTTTTGTCCGAGCAAAGATAAGGAGAAGGAAGAATACGAGCAGCGAACCTTTGAACTCGACAGGGATTGTCCATAAATGCCCGTCATACTCGCTTCCTTTCATGTTCTCTCTGTTAATAATAGGTCGAAACGGGTTCATGAGATTGACCGTGCTCCAGAACCAGTGTTGCAGCTGATCCTCAAGGGTCTCTCCTCTTGGCGGGACAGGTGCTCCCGACGGATCCCGCACATAGTTTCCCCCGTAGACCAGCAGAGCGATGATGAATGTTGCAGCAAAGATGGGAAGGTACAGTCGAAAAGGGCGGCGGAACGCGGATCCAGCTAGTGTACTCAGAGCCTGATCCCCCTTGCCGTTGTGAATCATCGTCAGGGTTTTGAGGGTGAGGACGAAGCCTGAGATGACGAAGAAGACGGTGACGCTAGCTCGTCCGGAGTGTAGAGCCCGGATGATAGGCATCTGCAAGAACAGGCGATGACCTTCGAAGCCATATCCCCAGCCAAGATCTGGAAACCAGAGGTAAGAAAAGTGGAAGATGTAAACGACAAAGGCTGCGACACCGCGAAGGCCATCGAGATACGCTGTGTGGCTAAGCTTTCTTCGCTGAGGCTCGTTGCTAGGGGGCCTGGTGAAGTATATGAATGGGCTGACGACGAAGGCAGGCAGTAGAAGTGCAGAGAGCTTCAGGGCGGAAAGGAAGCGATCCTTCCATGTGAGAGTGCCAGTGGAGTGTTGATGCTTGTCGAGGAAAGATAAAACTGAGTCTTTCGCAGATCTCAGCAAAACGAAGGAGGCGGATTTATGATTCGTGTTGTCGCTGGTCTCGTCCACCGGCTCTGTTGAGTGTGAAAATTGGCCATTGTGTTCCGCAATGAGAGAATACTGTTCGTACGTGTCTTGTGGTGCGTGCGAGAATGGGTTTGAGAAGTGCATAATGAGGATTGATTAGAGTAACAAATGCAGATTCAACACCTGCTGGAGATGCAGTAGGAGAAGTAAGCTCATCCAAAGCATGGAATCTACAGT